TGAAACATGTATTTATATATATTTTTAACAATTTAGATATTTTAACATTTTAATCCCGCAAGGTATTCGCTGCTAATGATCTTAGCTGTTGACGCGGCAGAGAATTTTAAATAATAAATCATTGTGTGAAGTCTCCGACCCCCCCCCCCACACACACACACACATCCCGCCCTAAACTCTCTCGCCACCTCTTCCGCTTCCGTTTCTTCTTCTCTTTCTCTCTCTCTCTCTCTCTCTCTCTCTCTCTCTCTCTCTCTCTCTCTCTCTCTCTATCTATCTATCTATCTATCTATCTATCTATCTCCTTATTTACCCTTCTCAGAAATATACTCTATCTACTCCATTCACAATCCTTAGTCTCTTCTACCCACTTTCCCTTGTTTTCCTAATCCTTCATCGTTCACTTTCATCTTTCCATATTTTCGTCTTTCCCTTTCTATTCTTTTTTCCTCTCCATACTCGTTTCATCCTCGTTTTCTACTACTTTCCTTTCCTCAATCATTTCTGCCATTTCCATCTCTTAGCTTACGGGTATGTCTCTCTTTTCGTCTCTCTTTCCCTAGCGACCCCACCTATCCCCACCCTACGACCCTCCTGTCCCTCGACGCCCTCGATCCTCGGTTCGAACCTGACTCGAACCTTGGTAATCCAGCGGGCGGCACCCACATACGCTGGAGATGATTCCCGCCCACACACGCTGGAGATGATTCCCGCCCACACCGCCACACACGCTGGAGATGATTCCCGCCCACACACGCTATGCACTTACCTTGTATTGCTGTCGTCTTAATGTACTTGAAAGCATGTAAATAAAACTATTGTGTTTGTAGTTTCACGAGTTTTTCCTCTGGGGCTTCGAGCGGTTCGAACACTTGGGTGGCGAATAAGCCAGGTGGCAAAGCTCACTTTACCGAGATTTTACCTTTATCTAAAAAGTATGAAGTCCTTCTTGAAGGTGAAAGGGAGCCTGAGTGGTTTTCATTTTTAATATATTAGTTTTGCTTAAAGGTTTCTAAAGATAAATTACTCTGATAACAACGGCCCCCTCCACGTATTTAAAGAATTTATAGTTTTCTTTATTATCTTTTAAAATTGCTTCAATTTAAAATTACTTTAACCTTTATCTTATTTTCATAAACTTTTGTTAATTTCCGATACTTTTATGAATAGTTTTTCTTTTTATAACTTACGACTACTCATACACCTCTTCTCGTTGCTTTAAAATATAAGGTTACTTTTTACTGAATTTGTTAACGGCGATTTTAGTTTACT